TCATTGGCTGTGAGCACGGCAGGAGGTGGCCGGGGGGAGGGCCAGCTACAGCCGAGGGCACCGAGTGGAGCACGGACCCACGCGCTTGCAGGACCCACAGTCAGGCATTTCTCTCTTCTTCCCGTCTCCTCCCATAAAATTAGGAGAGAGACACATTTTAATGACAGTTTGCTGAAATGTGCACTCCCTGCTGATTTGACATTGGGCAGAAAAAGTGTCTACAGAATCAATTTTTAATAAATGTAAACAACTAAATTATGAATGACAAAAATATCACTGAACAGTTAAATATTAATCATGTAATTACTTAAATTAATACTTTTATTGCAGTGTTATGATAGAGAGTTTTGCTTACGTGGCATTGCTGCGCTGGCTGGGCGGGCGCACGGGGGGGACGGGACCACAGTGGCCACCCCAGCGGTGGGGCTCAGGAGCAGAGGGCTCTGCTGGTGCTTGCCACAACTCCAGCTGCTGGCTGCCCCACAGGTCCCACAATACTGGGTGCTCCTCGTAAAGCCTCTGGAACCAGATTTATTAAGAAACAACTTTAGTTTCCTGTTCAAAAAGAGAGCTGTCAAGAAAATGGCTAAACTGGCTCCAACTCAGAAAGCACACCCACCCCCCCGCCAAACTCTCCTGTCCCAGTCTGCCATTAGACCCCCCAACAGCGGGGGTGTGATGTGCAGAGCCGTGGCTGTGCTCAATGATGATCTTGGGAAGACCGAGGGTGCTCAAGAGGGAGCAAAACGCCCTGGCTGCTTTTTTTCCATCTTGCTGGCAAGATGGAGTTGGATGAGTTTATGAAAGAGATGGTGTGCTGGAGTCACTGCCCTGCGGGCCCCCTCCATGCTCCCATCTCGACAGGCGCTGCAGGGACCTTGCATGGTGGAAACTTGGTTGCAAGCGTTACGGGGGGGTGTGGGTGGCAGCAGCCGTCTGTAAGGTACTTGCACACAGCATGCGGCTTCCTCCCCTGCCCAAGAAACTAAGAGAAGAATTTACGGGCGCTCTTGTCCTTGTGGGTTGGCTGGCTGCGTTGTTTGTTTTTAATCTAATAAAAGGAGATCTTAATATCATAGTAAAATCGGTACAAAGCTAGAAACTCGCCCCTTGGCGTTTTGGCGAAACATTATTGAAAATGTAAAAGCCTTTAGCAGAAACAACAGAAGCACAAAGAAATTGTAGAAATAGGATCAACAGGTTGTGTTCTGGATGTTGGGAGGAGCAGGGAAGAGCATCCAGCCAGGGCTCAAGGTGCCAGCGAGACCCGCTAAGCTGGAGGCCTGATGCCAGCCCCATCGTGGCTCTGCTCCGCAGGGACACGATGCAGCGGTGGCTGGGAGCAGGGGCCCTGCGAGGGTCAGGGTGGGCAGCACTGCAGAGCGGTGGCCGGGTGGTAGGGAAGAGCACGTTGCTGGGAAGAGCCGTGCACTGGGAAGATGGTATGAGCATAGCGGGACCTGGTCAGGGAGGTGGAGGCAATGGAAAGGCAAGCCTGCCATCCTTAGGCTTGCAACTGCTTGGATTGGTCCTGGCTCGGTCTGCTCACTGTCTGGAAATTAAATCTTGTACAGAAATTTTAAGAGCGTTTTTAAATTCGTAAGTAAAGCATCTCTTTGAAAAGGTGAGAATGCTGAAGAAACGGTCGTTGCTCAGACTCACCCATCGCTGTGGGCTCCAAGTGCAGCTCTCTTTGCCTCGTCTGTGTTTTCCTGTGCCTTCCACCTCTTCACAAACATCTCTAGAAGCACCATTCCCGCGTGCCGTAAGCAAGTGCCTCTTCAAAATGCCATTACCCAACTTCTCTACCAGTACAGTCCTGGGCACCATGACCGCTCACAAAACCAGCCATTTTCGGGGTGACCACTGCCTGATCTGAGAGCTGCAGCTGCTCCCCACAACTTTAACTCACATCACATGGCGGGGTGCTGGCGGGAGCAGCTTCCTGAGGCTGCCAGCCAGGCTGGTACCTAATTTCTGATTGAACCTCAACAAGTTTACACAGTGCAAAACCATTCCCATCCCCTTGCACTTGCTGAGTCCCTGGCTCTCTGACAGCCTGTGCGTGCGCATTTTGCTTCCACGCTTCTGCGCGTGACGTTTTGTTCTGGCTGCCCAAGACCCATTAGCTGGGCACATCAGGTCCTGGTGGGGCTTGTAGAGCTGCTCCCGGTCGCTGTGCTCTTCCATGGCTTCACATGTGATGAGTAACCCTGTAAGGCAAATTTTCCTTTCGAAGCTGCCGTTTGAGTTCACTTTGTGCTCTCACAACGTTGTGTTTTCTGATGGACTTCCTACAGGTACAGTTTATAGTGGCGAGAAGAGAGAAGCAGGAGCACTTTCGGCACGCAGCGTTACAACATGCTGCAGTGAAGTTGGTTCTTGGAACATAGCAGCCCCCTAAAATGTCAAATAAATCCTTAAACTATTCATCACTCTGTTTTTGGGGTGGCAGTTAAGTCTTTCAACACTCTGCAAGTTTCTTTCCCCAGCAGTAATTTCGCTGGTGAAGAAATACAGCTCAGGGCACTCCACAAAGGCCTCAAAATTCATGTTTTGTTTTCATTACCAAAAAAATGCTTCACTACATTAAAGAGCGGCCCATTAAAATTTTGTACCCGGTCTTCCCTGCGCCCTGTCATTGTTGGCAGACCTTCCCCCATACGCGCGGCAGAGCCGAACAGCAGCCGGCGTGTTGCTTTTGCAGACTTCACAGAGAAAGGGCAGCAAAGGGGAGGAGGTTTAAGCCACAGCCCAGCTTCTTCAGGTGCAAGATCTCAAAAGTTTCGATAGCCATGCAAATTTACTCAGTAAATATACTGTGCTGAACCTTAAGCTGCTCTATCAGTGTTTCTTCTGCTTTCAGTCTAACCCAGCACAGCACACTGGCTCATGTGCATGTCTAAGGAAATAAATTAACTGACTGGTTCCTGGAATAAAATTTAACACTGTACAAAGCAATATATTTAGCCATCTCAGGCAAATAGCCCTAAAATAACAAGAAGAAAGAAAATAATGCATTACTGGAGGCTTACCGAACCTTGGGATTATATAAATTAAATGTTGCAATGTGAACTGGATGGTGTATCCTGATACCGTTGAAAAGCTAGAGGTTGAAGAAAAACAGTAAACCTATTATAATTAGGGTTTAGGGGAGCATTTGGTTATTCTCATAAGTAACTCAGACTAGCTGAATGCTGACAGGGCCACGAGAGCAGGCAGTAGAAGCTGGAGCTTGCTTAAGAGGGCAGAAAGGTTTTTAGCTGGAATTCAGTGGGGACTTGCTAAGTCCAGTTTTATTTAATATCTCCACAGTTAATTTAGAAATAAATGGCACGTTAATTAAATTTGCAACTAAATTAGCAAGTTAGAAGATCAGACCAAGGTGCAGCTGTGGAGAGCAAATCTCACCGTGTTGCATGAACCCACAACCCAAAGCAAGCGGCGTGGGGCGCAGCCGGAAGCGCCAGCACTGCGGGCGGCGGGGGAGCAAACCTGCCCCTTCCCATCGCCGGGGCCGGCGCACGCCTTCCCCAGCCAGGCTGAGGTCTCTCGCGTCCTGCTGCTGGGCCAGAAATCTTGGGGTGGGGTGGTGATGCTGGAAGGAGGGAGGCAGGGAGGCTGCGGCTGCGGCATTCGCCAGCAGTGCTGACCATTGCCTTTGGCGAGCTCGTTATCCAAAAAACAGGAAAAAAAACGGAAAAAAAATATCAAAAAAACAGGGAAAGCCCTGCCCTGGTCACAGCAAGGGACACGGGCGGATTGCATAGCCGAGTCGAAGGGACAGCTCGACAGTGAAATCCAGCAGGCTGCCGGATAGTCTCTCTGGGAAATGGAGGAGTCCTCACTGGCAGGGTTATTTAAGACTCGACTTTGAAACACGAGACACTCTGCAGTTGGGAACAATGCTGCACTGTCAGAGAGATGGACTCAATTACTTAATAGGTCGTTGCTGTCTGTCTCCTGCGATTTTCCTTTCAAGAACATATATTCAGCTGGGTTATTTCTCATGGGAAGACAAAGCGTTCTGAGAGAAGCCAGGCGTTTGAAGGGGAGCAGCGGGAGGAACGGCAGCCAGGCAGATGCCCGGGTTGCTTTCTGCAGAGCATGCTCCTCGGGATGTGGAGAAAGCCGGAGTGATGCAGCTGATGTGGTATTTTGGTCCTGTAACCAGCTGATCCCCTGGTCTCATAAGTCTCGCTTCCTTTTCTTCGCTCACGAAAGATTTGCCACGTTGTTTTCTTCTGCCAGACTCTGATCCCCAGGACTAGTGGTGGTGGGACTGTGGTCCCACAGGCAGCACTGCACATGCTGCATGGGCCATTGGTTACCAGTTTGCCGAAATGTTCAGCATTGGATGGCCGCTTATCCAGCGCTGACAGGTCCATACAGCTCATCTCGGTGTAGGGGCAGCCTCTCCTAGCACGGAAAGGCTTTGATGGCATTTGATGAAAATGACAGCCAAGCTGGAGGAGAAGCTCATGGCCAGGAGCCCACCTCCAAGTAACCATTGGGTTCTCCGTTAGCAGAACATGGTGGACAGGGACGTATAATGGAGGCGGTGATGCATATTGTCACCAAAATTACTCTGCCAGCCACGGGGTGAGCGTTTCATAGGCACTTTCCTTGTTGGGGTCGTGGGTCTAATTCACAGCCTTGATGCGGGGCAGCACGAGGTTAGCCCCAGGGCAGCTGCAGGGCTCTCACTGCTGGTGTGTGCGCCCGTGTCTGCATGTGCACACGCGCTTGGTGTGCGTGAGCGTGCGGCTGCACACGCGTGTCTAAGGCATCTGTCTTTGTGCACTTGTTTGTCACCAAATTAAGATACTGCGTTACCTTATGCACATTGAATTGATGCAACTAAATTGGCTGGATGTTCTTAAGCCCTGAGGGTGTAATGAGATTTTGTCTCTTTTGCCCATTTCTTTTTCTTTTCTTTTTTCAGAATAAGTCGTCTGTTTAATGGCACAGAGCCTATTGTCTTGGACAGTTTAAAACAACATTATTTCATTGATCGAGATGGTGAAATTTTCAGATATATATTAAGCTTCCTAAGGACATCTAAGCTACTGCTCCCAGATGACTTTAAGGTAAGGAAAGCTGTAGTCTGCAATCCATTTTTTCCTCCCATTCTGTCATTTGTTTTGGTGCAGGTTGGTTTATGTGCTTGACCTAAACACACTTAACTAAATGTTGCTGTTTATTGTTAGGATTTTTAGTACTTGTATATTACACCAGGGATGCTATTATTTAATAAATGGACCAATGGTTGTCATGGATACCATAAAAAGTTAAACGATGAAGCTTACGGCTAAATCAGTTTTTCTAAACTAATTGTATTTTCCCACATTTTTAGCTTATTTATCAGGGTATAACAACAATTAAGAAGCAACATCAGCAACTAGCACTTACCAGGGTTTAATGCTCAGAATCTGAAAGAAATGTTTTAAATTTGATACTTAGAGGGTGTAAATCGTATAAATCTTTTTCTTGTTGGTATAAAAAAGAAACACCCTTAAACAAGCCCATGAGGATTTGTGTTAGATATAACCAATGTAGATACTTTGGGTTCAGGAAGTAATCTTTTACACAGTTTATGAATGTCAGAATATTCTTGGGAGATGGAATTTACTGAGGGCTTTTTAAGGAGCAATACATGTTTTCTATGAAATAATGGCGCTGGTTGTTGCTTTGCAAATCCTGATTGTTCAAACGCTCTCCTCCTAGCCTTGTTTATTTGGCTTTGCACTTATGAAACTTGCAACATTGTCATCCTTATGTATGAAAATTAGAAGACAAAAGTGTCCAAACTGTAGATGACAAGATTCAACAAAAGCACTAACTCCAGCATGAAATGATTAATAAATTGGGATGGCAACGGGGATCTGCTCGGAGTCAGAGGACGTGGAGTGTTGCTAGAGAGGAAGGTTCCTGCGCTGTGCAGTAAGATTTCACTGTGCGTGTTGGACTAGGTAGGCAAGATAATTTGGCCAGTCATTACTGAGTCAGCCCAGATCTGTGGCTGCTGTGGTGGCTTTAGCTTTGGAGTACAGCTGATCCTCATGCTGCAAACCGCTCCTCAGCCGTTCTTGCCTAAGTTACGAGTATAGTCGTATTTGACCCCGGCAGGGGATTGTGTACAGTTAATGTTGAGCAGACGCGCTGTGTGATGGGAGCACACGTCCAGTCCCAAGGCAGGGAGAAGTTTTGGCATTCAGGGGTGGTTTCGGCCCTCCAGCCCCGAAGCGCTGTCCTGAGCACTGGTCTTTCTGGGGAGCGGCGGGTGGGTTGGGGAGGCTGGGGTGCTGTGAAGCAGGGTGAGAGCCAGAGCACTAAGGGGTGGATGTGAGAAAAGCTTTTTACAGAGAAATGAGAGAGAACACACAGGTAGGAGTGAAGCTAAAGACCAGACCAGTTTTGTGGATTGACAGATGGATCAAGTAAAGGGGGGTGGATGGAGAAGCGGTACAGGTGAAATTGCCAGAGAGATGCTTTAGCGGCAACATTTTGGACAATGTGGTGGGACAAGCAGGCGTGAGAAGAGAGGGTAGAAGAGTTGTAGTTGGAGCTGATCATCGCCTCGACTGGTATCCAGAGTTCAGAGGTGCTGTGAAACAAAACCAGTAGGATTTGCTAAGAGCCTGGAGGTGAGAGTGCCAGTGGATGCCAAGGACTTGTCTGCGCAGCGAGCCGCTGGCAGGTCTGGGAGAGACTCGGGAGAGCCGGCGCTGTGCCCGGGCTTAGTCCGTTGTTCCAGACCATCTCTTTGCATAGGGTTAACTGTATTTTAGTTAGTTCCTCCCTGGGAGAGCTTTAGAGCAAACCCCAGGCTAATGAGGGCTCAAGAACAAAGCAAAGTATTGCTAGGTAGGGAGTAACTAAATACAAATGCATAGAAGAATGCGCTGCAAAGCTATATTAAAACTGCATTGTAAACGGATTTGACTTCACAGAAATCATGTAATTTTACCAGCATGATTAAAGTGACAGAAGACAATAATCAAAGGCAGCAAATGGAATCACTCAGTGTTTCTAAATGCAAAACTCTATTTAAGGTATAAAACCTGACAGGTTTTCCAGTGAGACTTGCATTAAATGTTCTTTATGTCAAACAAAGCATTATCAAGTGTTTTGAATATTTATTAGTTTTTACCCCTTAATTTAATCAAGCAGTTTATTAGCCTCGAGGTTTAGCCAAGTTGCTTTTCAACTTGAATTGCTGCTCAGATGGTTATTTTGGAAAGTTTGGAATGTTAGTACCACACCAGCGTTACTGTGTTTGCTATTTAAGTGTTGTTTTCAGACTAAGTTAACACTGAAATGCAGAGAAAGTGGGGTATGTGTTCCTAGGCTAGTGATTCTTTATTATCAAGTCTGACTGGTGTGCTTACAGTGAATATTAATTACACCTCCTACTATTAATAAGCCAGAACTTGGAAGTGTTTAGTATCTGACAGGTCGCCCTGCTGAAAGCCACAGTCTAATAGTACACACAATTTTGCTGAGTTTGGGGGATTTTAAGCCACATGAAGTATGCTGAGAGATTACTGTGAGTTGCTTGGCTCAGTTCTCCTTCACAGCCAGCCTGTGCTGAGCAAGCCGATGGCGAGCAGCCCGGAGCTGCTTACAGCTCCCTCCTCCTGCACCAGTTCAGAGTCCCACGCCTGTGGGACCCCGACACCTTGAGCAACAAAAGTCCTCACACAGAGCGTGGAGCCAGCACCCCCGGGTCTGCCATGCTGCTGGGTTAGGGGGTGGCTGGCGCAGGAGCTGCCCCTCCTCTGCAGCCCAAATGTTCTCTGCCGTGATCCCCCCCGCCGTCAGAGGTGATTCCCCAGGACATTTACGAGCAGCTTCTGTCCCCTTCACTGCCAATACATAACTTCACACAAAACCAGGACCCATCATACCTACTTACTTGAGACTCGCTCCCTGCTTAGAGATCGTCAAATGAAAATAGACATGGGCAATGTGTATATTATTACTCCATCTTAAGGAGGGGAGGAGCACAAATGCACAGGACGTCTGAGTTTCATGTGGATTATAGAGGTCACCTGTAGCACCGGAACCACAAGGCCGGCACGCTAATTTATTAATAACGTTTTAAAATTTGTGTGCTTAAGTGCTCTCAAACTGACCTTAGCAAATGGCGCAGTTGTCATCGTAGAAGTGAGCAACTTTCTCTCATAGCCAGGAGTCAGATCTTCACAGCACTAAAATATAAAAGAAACGTTGAGTCAGGATGACAGTTTGTTGTTTTGTGCAACAGAGTAACAAGTGAAAAATGGGCAGAAAGAGGCATTTCAGCTTGTTCAGGAGTCAACATTAGGTACAAAAATAAAGGACCTCTTTAGTACGGAGAGAACAGCATCAGGTTCACAGGAGACATGGTTTTACAGTTTCTGTTGGCTGTCTCTGCCTGTAGTTAGCAGATCGTTACTGACCCACTGGCACTGATGTCAAAACAGCAGCACAACTGGCCTTGCAGTCACACTTCCCAGGAAGATGTCACCCTTGTCAGAGGCGACTGCAGAATTTAGCCAACGTGAAATCCACCAGAAAAAAAGCTTTTCTGCCGAATCATGAGCAGAAAATTATTCTGTGAAAGGCAAAAAGCTGCATCTTTGAAAAATCTGTTTACCTTTCCCATGAGATCTAAGTGTTGTCCAGAAGTTGTGGATGGAGAAAGGCGGTGTGCATCCCACCCGGCTATCTGCTCCCTTTTCCAGGTGGCCTGACAGAACTTCCCCACTAGTTCCTACAACAGCCATGAGAAGTTGAAGGCTCACGATAGTTCATGAAGGCTTTTTGTGGTACTTTACAGCAAAATCAGAGCCTTGACTGTCCATCTCCCCTTTCAGTCTAGTAAGGAGCACCCTGCTCATGAGCAGGGACCTTGGCTGGTGGGAATCACCTTCGGAGTAAAGCCATTTTCCCTGGCTAAACACAAGCAGCTCCATTAGCTACCATACACAGTGCTTGGCTCTGGGCTGTGCTGCCACAAGGTATACATGGCTGTTAAGAAGCTGGGAAGGTAGGGAAATAATCCTTAGAAGAAATGGGAGATGCATCATTAGTCCTGCAGGACAAGGAACTCCTGGATACTGTACAAAATCTGCTGCAGGATGCTGCCTGCTGCTCAGCAACGCTGCACTGATGCCAGGGCTGGAGCCTCCGTGAGAGAGAGGGTACAGTATCTGTGTGCATTTACCAGCATATGCCTGGAACAGAAGCTGTACCAGGCTGCTCTGAGGCTGAGTTTCAACGAAACTGTGTGCACTTTGCCACGGTGCTAGGCAGTTAACACCCTGTAGCTACTTCTGTGCCTGTTTCAGCAAAATGTGCCTCTTCTGGATAGGTCTGGGAAGATTCGTGTCTGCATCTGCCTTTGGTAACTTATCAAAATGAGCAGCATGGAAATGTTTTCTTGCAGCTCCTGTGGCACCTCCCTGGCAAGGTCCCTTGTGGGTTGAATTCTTCTGCTTCATATATCATGTTAAACTTTTGCAAGTCATCAGGGTAGGATTTTATATCTACAGTGCAAGGGTGGAAATACCTGTGTCAGTATTACCTGGACATCCTGAGTATCCTGTGCAGACAGTCCAGAGCCGGGCCTCGCTTCCCAGTCCAGTTGCCGCTGCACAGTATTCCCAACAGTGTATAAAACCTGCACGAGAAGATCATGCACTTAGCGGTGTGTCGAGTCCATTACCCTGCCCAAGCACAGGACCCCCACGCTGTGAACCGTTTATTCTTTGTTCCTGGTTTTGCAAAATCCTCTTTCCTCCCTAAATACATTGTCAAATTCCGTAGCGGTGCCCAAGTCACTCGGTGCAGAAACGCCAGATTCCTGGTACAGGAGCCCGAGCAGGTCAGGGTGGTGGGGCAGGCTGTGCTCCTGGTGGCTGGTCCAGGGCAGCATGCAGTACGCGGGGTGGGGGGTCACGGAAGGTGTCCCTTCCCAGCACTGTCACTGGTGGACAGCCATGAATTTTCTCTTGCCGTTCCTAGCAGAAGACGCTTTTTTATCCCCTCTACGTGTTACAGCGTAACAAATTCCCTTTATTGCCAGTGCCTGATAATAGGCAGCTGCCCAGACTCCCTAACGCCGCATGTGCGTGTTGCCGCTTTGCACCAGCATACCTCAGATTCCCAGCTTCTGTCGCAAACCCCTTCCTCCAGGTGCAAAACCCTTTCCAGCACATTTGTGCTCAACCCAAGTGTGGAATGGACATGGAGATGAGAGTCTTATTTTAAAAACTAACCCAAGCACCTTGGCTTAACCCAGGCGGTTTATGTGCATCCCACTGAGCACATGATGCTCCAGCACAGCTCTGGTTTCCACACAGCCGTCTGAGGCGTGGCTGTATCGTTCTGGGAACAGTAGTGGAAGAGCTGTTTCATCTGAAAACTCCTTGTCTTACCACAAAATTATATCAGAATATAAAATTTATCTTGTTTATTTAGGACAAATGATGGCTAGCAGGAGTCACTAAAGAGCTGCGTTTGATGCGGTGGGCTAATAGCTGGCTGTGGGGGAGGCAGAGGTGGTGTGATCCTGGTTTTGTCTGCTTTATGGCATTACTGTTTTGGCCCGGGGGTGCTGGGCCATTGAACAACTGTGATTCAGGATACTGTCAGCCTAGTCCGAAGCCCAGTGAAGTCGGTTGAGAAGACTGTCATGAATGTTATGGGCTTTGCATCCAGCCTCAGGAGCACTGTACCTCTCTTTACTTTCAGAAATGAAGGACTGGTTTTTATATGGCTGTAGCACCTCTTCTGGGTTTTACTGTTGAGTTTACTTAGCACATATTCAACTGATTGACCTTACAAATAATATGTTATTTTATAGTGACCATGAACACAGATCTTCTAAAACTGGTTTTTCAGGACCTATTGAAAACAGTGGGAGACTTTCCATTGCCTACAGTAAGCACTGGATGCTCCTGTTCACTCTACAGCATTACATTACTTTTTTCCTTAGCATTGCATGTTTTCCTTTGCTCAAAAAAGAGAGACATGGGACCAGCAGATGCCCAGTGAACATTTGCTGTCCCCCTGCACACACCTCTCTAGTAACTGCAGTTAAGCTGTGGACTGTGTTGCTCCAGTGTCCTGCACGATGAAGATCACAGAGAGTTTGGGGCAGGGGTTGTTTTTTAATTTAGGCCACTAATCCTCATAGGTTTAAACCAATCCCGTGCTCAGTAACCAGGGAGCTTCACTGGTGGGCAGAGAAAAGCAGTAATGGCTCAGCAGAGTGCTGATTTTGGGGAGGGGGGGAAGTAACTTCCATCAGGGGAGAGGCTGATTCTTTCATCTTCCTGTTGTTTTTCATCTTCCGTCTCCTTCCCGTGAGTGCATTTGTTGCCCTCATTTCTTTCCACTTGCTCTTATCACTTTTCTCTCTTTCTGTGTTCTTTTTTCCCTCCCTTAGTGGTGCGCATATTGTCCCAGCCTTAACAGACATCAAAGAGATGTAAAGGATGGGATGTCCCTTTTGTAACGTGATAACCTTGCTGGTGGCACTGTGAATATTCATACATCTCCAGGCTGTAGGCAGGCCTGGGGTGAAGGAGCACCTCTCCACTACCCACGGTGGGTCTGTGGTGCCCAATTTGAACACAGCTAACTGCTTTGGTTCAATAATATCCTGCAGCAGCAGATTTTACAGGTTAATTCCAAGCCGCTATGAAGAGTCGCACCTTTTTGTGCTGCACGTTCCTTGGCCTTTGATTCCCCCTCTTCCCCGAATCCTGGAGCAGCACTGCTGCCATTATTTTTCATGTAATTTTGATGTCCATTTCTTGATTACTTCTTGTCATGCCCTTCTTTCCAGGCTAAATGATTCCAGTCATTTCACTCTTGTGATTTTTCATTTCATTTCATTGCAGTGGTGGAGAACTGACCTTTATGTCCAGGTGTTGACCTACAGCATACTCCACAAAAGTCACATAGCGTACCTGCGGTGCAGCATTTCCAGCTGTAAACAGGCGTAAGAGCCAGGAAAGCAAACGGCAGGTCTTTGGAGAGAGGAGCTGGTGCTGTGCTCTTGTTGCTCCTCTTCCCTTCAAGAGGCTGAAGGAGGCGGTGGGGCTGGTGTAAGCAAACCGTCCCTGGGTGCTTCCCCCTCCCTTTCTTCTCCGGCTTGGTCTGGTGGGCGCTGCTGCCTCCTGGGGTCTGGGGGGGCTGCTGGCACCCTTTGCCTCAGCGTACTGTCATGCATTGAAGCTGAGGTGGGAAGATCTGTTGGAAATCTGATGAAAAGCTATTAATGAGGATGTGCAGAAGACATCTCAATCAGTGAACTGGGAATCGGACCAAATTGGGAATTTGAATTGCCCAAAGCCCGAGTGAGGTGATGGACAAATGGCTGGGAAGAACTGTTTCTTTTAAGTTGTTGGAGCGCACAGCCGAGCTCCCAGCCAGTGGGATAGTCACTACCTCCGTATAATTTACCAGGCTCCAAAGTACACTCTAAGTACATGAATAATCATGAAACACAGGGAGCAGCTGAGCTGCTGCAGCTGAATTTCAGACTCAGCAAAGACAGGTGAGAAGTGAAGCTAAACTGACATCTCCATCTCGTAACATGTGTGCGAGAGGTGACAGCGAAGCCTGAGATGATCTGTTGTAAGATCAGAAGTGAGTATCTGAGGCGAAGAGTGAAGATTAGGCTCAGGACATCTCCTCTTGCATCAGCAGGCTTTGCTTATTGCAGCCAGTTATTTTGATTTCTTAATCCAAAAGTAAATCCTTCTGGCATTGAGCTTGCGGGATAATAAATGAAAGAATAATTCAGTGGCGTTGGGAACTTCACGGTCAGCCCAAATAGATTCAACACTAACACAGTGTGGTTTTCTGTGTAGGTGTCAGATGAAGACAAAGTATGTGGATACCTGTTGCCTTTGCACTCTTGCTGACAATACATAAGCCTAAGTAGGTCAAACAGGAACAATACTCATTTTTAAAAGAGAACTATAAGCATTTCTAGTTTCTCTCTCTCCCTCTTCTTTTTTTTTTCCCCAGGACTTTAATCTTTTATATGAAGAAGCAAAGTATTACCAGCTGCAGCCAATGATTAAGGAACTTGAGCGATGGAAACAAGAGAAAGAACAAAGGAAACATTTCCAGCCTTGTGACTGCTTGGTCGTAAGAGTGACTCCAGATCTGGGGGAAAGAATTGCATTGAGTGGGGAGAAAGCTTTAATAGAAGAGATCTTCCCGGAGACCGGGGACGTCATGTGCAACTCCGTAAACGCTGGCTGGAACCAGGACCCTACCCACGTTATTAGGTTTCCTTTGAACGGATACTGCCGGTTGAATTCAGTGCAGGTAATGGCGTTTCGGTGCTGGCTCATCTGTTTGCTGGGGTGTTTTCTTATTATTTCTTGTTCAATTATATGCAAATTATTTGCTTCTGCCCAATTACCTTCAGTGCTTATACTGCAAGGAGACATTTTCTGCCTGGCGAGATCAGTCTTTCAGGTTTTCCTAAGTCTAAGCAGAAAAATAGATTTAGATTTTGTGTATGTTAGTGCCATGCTGGTCTCATAATGGTGTTATACTGATAAATGCTAATTTTTTCATCAATGTATAGCCCGCAGCAGTTTTTTTTTTCCTCCAAAGTGCCCCCAGGAAGAAAGAGAGAGTTCCAAAAACTACAAAAAAAAATCTCCACACCATTTTATAGAAAATGCAACAATGTGTAAATGCATAATTTATGTCTCACTCATAATTAAATGATGGTGCCTGCGGGATGGACTTAAAAAAATTGATCTCTGCACTTTTTTTTTTTTTCAAAAGGATGTTCTATAAAAATTGCCCAGAGTATTTTAAACAAAATATATTTCATTTTATACTCAGAGTTTTGACATTAGGTTTAAAATTAAACATATGAAACAAAAGAAGATAACTGGACAGATAGGTGGATGGTAGCGGAAATAAATATGTGGCTTGTGTTTAGGCAGCGGCCTTATGGGCAAGAAACGCCATTTCACAAGGGATCACCGCCACTGCGGCCAGAGCTTCGGTGGTGTAGCTGTCCTTGGGCTGCGCAGGAGGAACGGCGCTGATGATGCTGTTAACTTCTGCCTTAATTAACAAGGCAAAACAGAGCTCTTGCAGAGTTTTTGCATGTACACCTTTAAAGTATGCTGTAAATACTTGTATTATGGAAAGTGAAATCAACCTGTAGGGGAATATTTCCAAAGTTCCCCTCCCCTGCAGAGGTGCTAACTGGGCTGTGGGGAATGCCTTAGCGGTCTTGATCAACTTCCCTGGGGGCAAATACCCACCGAAGGGCTGGCCCCTGGGACAGGCTGGCCGGACAGGTTGGGGAGGGAGGCGTGATAGCAAGGGAGGGCAAGCACCTGGAGCCCTTGCTTACCTGGGCTGTTACTACACAGCAAGCTGAGGCGCCCTCTCTCTCCCAAGCTGCCAGCTGCCAGTGTTTTCGGGAGACCTGCACTTACCAGGATATGTAAAAGTGGATGGAGTCATTTTAACAACCTGCATTTGCCACGGAGGCCTCCCTCCTCGGGGCAGCATTCCCTGGTGCCTCGTGCACCAGAAGACGCTTTTGTCTGAAACCGTTCTAAACCCAGCTATTTTTGGTGATTTTTGGTTCAAGACTCCCAAGTGTTTTATTTGGTTGAACTTTTAACAGTCCGATGCCTGTGGTTAATTTTGCCCAGTCCTTAGCAATTTCATGTTTGGCAAGGTTTAGAGTGGGCTGCCCCAAAAATAGAAGGCTGGAGGTGGGTCGGAGGCAGATCCGTTTGCTGGCAGTGGGAACAGTGATGAATTCATCGCTGTGCTGGGTGGAGAAGGGAGCAGCTGCGGTTTAGCTAAGGTAAGTGCACAGGGAAGCGTGTTCGTGTCTCAGCCACGCTGTCCGTGCGATACAGTTAGACGCATGCAAGAAATCAGAATAACTGAAACAATAAAGGGTCACTGCGAGGCACTGATGGGCTCAGCACTGCAAGCAGGCAAAGCGCTGGATGCCCACGTGGCTTAGCACCTGGCTCTGTTTTATCCAAAGTGGCGTACTGGTAGGAAAGGTGTGCTGGTAGCGAAAGCTGAGTGCTAATTATTGTTATTATTTGAATGTGTTTTGAATTCAGTCGAAATTCAGACAGAATCAAAGAGTCTCTTCACAGGTTCATGTTGTGAAAAAAAATTTCTGTCCAAGAGTCTACAGTCTAAATAATATTATTAAATTACATCATTTTACTAAATTACATCATTTTACTATATAATTAATAGAAAGTGTTTTCAAACACTTACTGGAAAATGATGCATTTCTGAGACCAAAGGCTGATGAAATCAGCAGCTAATTATCATTGGCTCTGATGGACTCTGGTCAGCGCATAGGCACTGCCCTTCCCCTTCCCAGGATTTTTGGGCAAAACAGTATTACATCAGAAGCTGGAAGTACAGTGAAGTAAACGCACAGACTTACGGGAGGTCGGTTAAGAGCAGAATCATTTCCAAAGAGTCTCAGAGTGACGCGGTAAGTCTGCCTGCTGCGTGCCGAGATACAGCACTTCTGTCTCCCTGTGCCCTGCTGAATGTGTTTGGTAGCACAACTGCAATACTTACTAATTCTTTGGATCTTTGGAAAATATTTTCATTAAATGTTTTGTGTCAAGAACTGTGCGTATAAAACAAAGCATGTCAACTTCGAGTAGGCAGCGGCAGCCAAAAAAATACAGTAGCTCTTAATTTAATGCCCCTTTGTAATTACATACAGGTATAGAGTTTTCTTAAGGCACGCTGTTTTTTCAACTCCTCGCAACAGGTTCTGGTGAGATACATGAGCTTACCTTAGAGAAGATTCTGTGATGCTTGTATATGTTGAACATGGAGTCTTCATCATTAAGAATGTATTCGTTAGTATTCTGCAAAATTTAAATGAAATGCAATAAGTGAAAGTATCATGTTTCTGTTTGGAAAAAACTTCCAACGAAATCAGATGTGCTCAGAATACTGGAAGACAAAGTATATTAAATCCTAGCACAGATCCTCTATTTAATAGTGTGTGTGTGTCTCCCTATACGTAGGAGAATCACAGCTGCTACTCATTTACTTCTTGGCATATTCTCTTTGGAGATTTACAGGAAAGTAGCTCTGATTTGATTCAAAGATGCTTACTGGTTTCCCTCTGTCTGTACCTTACCTTCAGAAAAAGTAACGCGCATAGAGCCAAATTCACTAAATGGCATTTAAATCTGTTCATGTTCAACATGCCGTTTAGTCTGGCGCACGCACCGGCGCATACAAACCAGAGCTCAGCGCACGTGGAAGCAGCCTTTAGGAGCCTTTCTCCATAGACCTGAGCTCAACCGCATCCGAGTTACACTTAAAACTCTACAATATTTAAAGATGCTCTGCATTGTGTACAGGATTTGGCCTGTTTTGTTTCTTGCAGAGAAAATTGATGATACCAAGGATTTTACACTAGATGATAGCCTGCAGTCTAGTCCTTCGAGCGCGTAGGTAGCAAAAATGAATCGCTTTGTTCTGCGTGCGGTGCTCTAAGGTGTAATGTCTACCCGGATTGTGTGTTTGCAGAGAGAGGGCTCGGTGAAGAAAAGTCCTGTGTTAACACGCAGCCTTCCATAGCTTTGGACCGAGGCAAGCCAAGGGCACCCCCGTGCTTGTTTTGTCTTACAAGCAAATTGATTTAGAAAAGTTTTTAGCAAGGATTTTGAAGTCACATGTCTCTGAAATCTTACCTGTCAATCCTGTTTCACTGTCCAGTTAAATGGAAGAAGCCTCCTTTCCTGTAGCCGGGTTGCCTCTCGTCTTCATCCTGCCAGGTCTAGGAACAGGAATGCACAAATTAGTCAAAATACACTCCAGGCTGTGAAACAGCAGTCTGACGACGTCTTGTTCCTCCTTCCCTCTCAAACTCCTGCCTTCCTCTTTGAGCAGGAGCAAGTGTTGGTGTCTGCGCCCCGTCCTGTCCTACCGGCTGCCTGCAGCCCGCACAAACGAGAGCTGTAAGCTTGCGCTCGCGCGCTCTCATGTATTTTGATAACCCACTCCCCCCCTTCTTGTCATCTCTCCAGGTTCATTTGTCTCCCAAGCGCTGGGGTGCTTTTTCAATCTTTCAGTTTGACAACTTTCTTACAGCGTAAGGTATAGAAAAATCAGGGCAAAAGTCAGTGAGGTTTGGCAGATGCAGCTTTCTGAGAACACGAGTCCCTGTGTCCCAAGGCCAGGCGGAGCTCCTCGGGCAGGCTGATTTCCAGCAGATGCTGCATGGCTCGGGCAGAGCTGTGCGAGAGCAGCTCCTTTCCTTCGCCTGTCCTTAGCAGCCAGAGTAGCAAGTACAAGGTTTTAGTTACCCCTAGAAACCCAAACCATGGATTAAACTGCAGATGGCTAACACAGGCGACCTCAAAGGAGGGTTCCCATGGATTAAAACCAGCAAACGCTGCCATGGTTTGCATTGCACTACAATACCACCTTGGATCCAGTTGTGCTTTTGAAATCAGTTACCTTTAATAAAGGCTCCAGACTGACGTTTCTGGAGAAAGCAACGCCAGCATTCAGTCAGAGGAGGCAGTGCACTAAGAAATGCACCTTGGCCTCACGTGGGTCTGCATGCGGGGCGAGGGCCGAGGTCTGGTGTGCAGAGCTTTAACGTAGGCAGCTTGGGCCTTGAAATGTAAGACTTCTAAGTACTACTGCAGTAGGTGTGACTGCTGAAGTGCTTCACGGGGCTAGTAAAACCAAAAAAGAAAGCAAATTCTTTCTAGGACATAAACCTGTGAAAGCATACGACTTGACTCTACCTGAAGTTGGGTGTATTGCTTAAGACACTTCTCTAGGTTGAGTGAACAAGTTTGTAAACAGCTTAGTCCCTGTGGTTGTGGGTGGCAGACGGCTGTCAGGAGGATGCTGGTGGTACTGAGTTCATCGGGTTTAGTAAATCATCAGGTTCACTTCCCAGCGCAGTGGGCCCATGCGCTGGAGCAAAGAAGAGGTACCTTGGGCAAGGCTGTTACGGAACCGTACAGGCTGCTCCCCCTTGATGGCATTTTTCAGTAGAGAAAAGCACAGGAACCATTTTTCCAGGCTACTGCCCTGGACTCAGGAGAGCTGCCCGCGGGAGGGAGGGAGCATGGCATCTCCTCCGGGGATCTTAGGTTGCAGACCTGCCAAAGGGGGATCTGGCATCCGCTCTCACCTAATGCTGGGAAAAGTCTGCGTGCGTCCTGCTCTGCTGGGAAACCGTATATCAACACGCTCACCCATGTGAAAACACGGCCCTATCATATTGCCAAGATCAGTATATCCTAGGGTAATGTGCTGTGTGACAGTCTCAGAAATTAAAGTTGCCTCTGGGTTCCTTAAATTCATGCATCTAAATTGCACCAACTTTTCTTTAGAAGGAGAAAGAGAAAATACGTATTTGGGCAATACAAATTAACCTCTTTCTTGGGCCAGAACGTTTCCTTATTGTCCACGTCTTGGCTCCACATCCCATCCCTGCCATGCCTTGCGAAAAGCAGCTCTCCCTTCCAGCAAGGGAGAATCACAGCTGCAGTTTCCGTGAAGATCTGGTGGAAGTGTCACTCAGGCTCCTAATACATTTTCATCTGCCAAGGAAAAGCTGAGAACCGTTTTCAGCCCCTTTCTGTAAGACTGTTCATGCTACCAATGAATAATGGGCACTTTCTGTTACAGCTTAAACCCGATGTTGCTTTCTGTAAGCAGTAAGATAGCATCAATAGCACCACAGTCCAGTATTTTACTATATAATGTACTAAGCTGCTCTGCAGAGTGCTTATTTGTTTGATTAATTTTTGTTTTCTACAGAGGTTTGCTGAGAGCGAGACTTTAATCACAGTGTAGTCATTTAAGAATAAGTTATAGAATTATAGCTGAGTAATATTCATTCAACGAGGACTCGAAAGACTAAATCCATCATTTAGATCCAGTGCTCCCGAATGTTTTTATCACTAAAATTTGCTAAATATTAATCGGATTTTTTTTCCTCACATTGCAGGTGCTCGAAAGATTATTTCAGAAGGGATTTAACGTGGCAGCTTCGTGCGGTGGTGGGGTGGATTCCTCTCAGTTCAGTGAATACGTGCTGTGTCGCGAAGACAGACGACCACAACCTACCCCGACGATCAGAATAAAACAGGAGCCCCTGGACTAGACCCTACCCGTACTCCTTTGTAACCGTAGAAGTGTTTAATAGTCCCTTATGTGAAACACTAAGGATTTGCAAAACAGTATTAGCAAACAGATTTTGACTTTATGTTGCCAATTAGTGGTATTCTGAAACTACCTGTCACATAGCCAGCCATGAAATGCATTTGAAAAACCAGTTGTCCGTTTTTCACAATGAAATTCCTGAGCATGCTCAGCGCACCAGCCCCGCTGGGAATGTACTTTGGGCTGAACAGCTCTGGTGGAGAAAAAGGCAAAGCTTCGTGAACCCCTGACCCTAGATTGGACTTCTGCAGAAAGACCAGTTAAAGCAAATTGAGTAGATCGGCAGGAGAAGCGGTTCTGAGAGCCTTCCCAACGATACCCCGATGCTGTGACGCGTGGAAGTGGGCACCTCCGAGAGGAAGACGGTACACTAAAAACTGCACTGAGTATCTTCCCTGACTGCCGCACCTCCTTCATATCAGACGTGCTTTACACCTCCGTACGCTACATTACACTTCCGTGATTGTACTCGCTCATGCTAGCAAATGGCTTATTTTTATACAACATTTCCAACTGAAATATCTCTCTGTGGACAGAATCCAGAATCAGAAAAGGACAGATTTATAGTCAACTGGTGCTCAGTACTAAAAAAACCCCACAGAAACGAAACAAAAAAGCAACAAAAAAAATGACAAGGCCGATTATGGCCATATTTGCAAACGTAGGGATCTGGAAGCACAAAATAAAATGCCATCCACCATCACACAAGGGTCACATACCCAACATGGAGCTGTAGTTCTCTCAAAGCCAGTCTCGTTTTGACTCAAACTGTTAAGTTTTGCATCCTCAAAGAAGCGTGGTTCTGCCAAGCAAGCTCTGCCACCCCTTGTTACTCATTCACTAACCACGTTATAAGCCCACATTTAGGAGGAAACGTTAGGAATTTTGGACGAGCCTACTCTTTATGGGTCTGGAATTTTTGCAAAAAGATGTTAAAACTCTCTACTGCCATTGTCCGATGAAAGCAGGCCACCTTTTGTTTAGATTGTTTTTCCTCTATTATTTTAAACTATTATTAAAATACCGATTCTGTAGCTGCCCTCTACCTGTGTAATTTTCTCTTTAACGAAGCCCGCTGTCTGCAGGAGGTTACTGCTCCTTCCATGAATCAGTATCGACTCTGACTTGCAGGGCTTCCTAACTCAGGAGACAGCACCATGTTTGCAGGTGCAAGGTTATAAATAGCATTCTGCTAAATCCTGTTTATTGCTGTTTAGCATGATTCATGTGTTAATCACGATTTAGTTTCTCCCACATTAATTTATAGAATACTGTTGTAGATGCTGAATTTTAATTAAACTCTTTTTAGATGCATAAATACGGCCATATAGAACAAGGGACAGAGTATTAAATGGTCAACAATTCTTTAATGCCAAGTGATTACAATCAGGCAAAATAAAAAATCACGACTAAGACAAGTGTTTTCAGAAGCTGTACTGAATATCCAAGGCACGATCTGGGCAGGGGTCTGATTTTTGGAAAAGGGCTGGATACCTGTCCATGGAAAATCAGACCTCTGCACGTCTTCTCACCGTGGTTACTCAGCTCAGACATCTCTTCTGGAAATCTTAGCCAATACGTATTGGCCTGCTAACTTAGCAGAACAGTTGAGCAAATCTGTCTACTTTAAAAGAGTTGTAAAGTTATTTTATTTTGTGGTTTTATACTTGTACGACATTCTAAAGTTGCTAGGCATTGCCATATTTGAATATATGGCACAACATTCACCTTTGTATGTAAGATATCTGTAGAATTGTATATTATACATTTAATATTGTAAAGAACTTAACGTATAATTGTCATGTATTTGTGTATGCACATTTCTTATACAGTACTTCATGCCATAAACATTTCTGTAAAGTAAATGATCAAAACCAAGCAAGTAGGGTGGAACACTCACTGTGTCGCCCGTGTTGTTTGAAAGAGGTGAGAACTTCTGATTGCGTCTCCTCCTGCCTTTTGCTCCGTTCAGCTTGATGTAGCCATGTCTTACAAAAAGAAAAAAAAAGTGGTTTATTTATTACTTTCATACATTGAGTTCACTTTAAGTTCAAAGTACCCTTAAATAATCCATTTAGCTTCGTGTTTTTATCCTGCATACCCTTTCGGCCTGCCCTCCTGCACCGGGAGGGCCGGCACTGGCGGCAGCCGAGCGCTCGTCCGTCGGCGCGTCCTCTCCCTTCTTACCTCTCCGCCGGGGGAGAAGGCGAACACTGCGCACCTCACGTTTACATTTACACGCGGGGCCCAGCTCTGGCGCTCGCACCGGGGCCGAGCCTCCCCGAGGTCAGCGTCTGCAAGCGGGACCAGACGCTGAGCGCCCACCGAGTGCGGAGCCCCTCCGGCTGCCGCCGCAGGCGCGGGCCGCTCTCGCAAGCCCGGAGGCGGGACGATGCTTTTAGCTGTCCGTAGAACGCCACTGGAAGCGTTTGCGGTTGGCTGGTTTGGTTTTCTTCAGTTTGGTGTTTACCCTATTTTTTTTATAGCTCAATAAAGCGGCTCTGGTACCTAGGGCAGCTTGCTAAGGTGGCATCGGAAAGGGTTGCGGGCTGCGCCAGCCGAGTTAAATGTGAACTTGAGATGGAAAGTTTGAGCCATGACATCACAACATTGACTGCAAAATAGCACTAAGGCACGGAAGACATGTGGAAACAATCACTTGGTTAGAAGAAATATGCCTTTTAAAAAAAAAAAAGTTAAGCTAGGACATGCTCTTTTAGTTAGTAACTTCAGGTCACTTATTTAAAGCTTATTACAGTCTCATT